GGGGGAGGAACAATAGACCAGGACGGGGGTAACATTGTAAATTGTAACAAGTAGGCCACCCAGACCAACAGCCGCTCACGACAGGCCACAAGGTCTAGACTCATGTTCTCACAATGAAAACCTTCTTTCTGATGTAATGATAATAATATTATCTCGCTGATGGTGATAGCGCATTTTCACTCTCCACTAGCTTGGGCGTTCGCGTGGCTCTCGTGGCCCGCACGCGACAGGAAAATGTGAGCCCCACGTTCAAAAAGGTCCTGCGTGCAGTATATTTTCATTGTCGATAGCTCCTTTTGACAGCAGAGAAAGAAAGCTCACGGCACACGTCTTGTTCTCCCTTGCTCCAAAACTCCGCGGCTCGGCTCAGGTGACGCCAAACCACACGACAACGCGACCACGTCCAACGGAGAAAGGGCGGCGGGCGGGGGGCGCACCAGATGTTACCCTCACAGCCCTCTTTTTATTGATCCGTCAAGGGGAGCGAACCGGTGACCGTTATCTCGGGGACGCCGCGTCGGGGAGTGAATTACCGGGCCTGTCTTTGTTCGATCATGTTACACCCGCTCGCCTCATCGCACACTCAACCACCTCCACCAGCCTCAGGGCGATCGTTTTCTTTGGCTGCACCGGTGGCTGTAAAGTTTTCAGGGTCCAATAATAAAAAATGTAAGCGAAGGGAGACGGAAAAAAAGAAAGAACAATTAATTATTGAATAAGCGGCTATGTATTTACGACCCAGGTGGGAAACAGGCTGATGTTTTGGGGATTAGGGTGTAGTGTAGGGAAGGGGGCGGGGGCTCGTTTTGTTTTTCTTTTTTTTCCCGAGCGTTGGTCAAGTCTAGTGGAGAAAGAAGAAAGGAGCTTTGTCTTTGTTTGAGTCCTGAAACCTGACGAGGCAGGCAAATTGGAGAGAGGGAGGGAGAGAAAGAGAGAGAAAGAGAGAGAGAGAGAGAGAGAGAGAGAGAGAGAGAGAGAGAGAGAGAGAGGGGGGGGGGGGCGAAGGGTGTAAGAGTAAGCGAGTGCATTATAAATCATCCATCTAAAAGTAGCGATAATAAACCGCCTGCGATGAAATACGAGTAGGCCCTAAGCTTGCCAACGCTGCACCGAGGAACACATTAAATATTACACCTTGTTTCGGTTATAAAATCTATATAAAATTTAATACCCTTTTTTTAAACCTTACCGTACTACAAGTAATAATTAATTGTAAAGAGCACCAGAGCTTGCTGTTGAATGAGCGGAGTTTTGGGTGAGGCCCTATCAATAGAAATGCTATTCATGATTGCTAGCACAATAATTACATTGCTATTTCTACCACAGATTTTCTACTGCTACTAGTTAATAAGTTACTAGTAGTAGAGATAGTAGAGAGAGAGAGAGAGATAGAAGAGAAAATTGGCTTCCTGTTCTATGACTATGATCACTGTTAACGTGGTACCATCATAATAATAGTATGACGTCACGTTGTCGGTAACATCAGTCTAACGTGAGTACAAAGGAGCTTTGATTGGTCTTTGTCACACTTCATGTCGAGAACAGGTCTCAGACAGATGGGGCATGGATCTGATTTCTTCCACCTTCAGTAAGCTCTTTGTCCGAATGTCGTTAGGTTAGGCTTGTAGTAGTAGTAGTTGTAGTCTCTTCTGGTTACTGCCCCTGACCATAATGTCCGTTCGATCTTGGGTAGGGTACTTTCTTCTGGTTTCGTCCCTTGGGTAGAGTTGGTTATTCTCTGGCTACTTCCCCTGTCAAATGTACTGCCATGGCACAGAATTCTACACTTAGTGTAGAATTCTGTGTGCCATGGTTAAATTACTTTTTTCCGGTTACTTCCCCTGTCTGAGGTAGTGAGTGACGGGCAAGGATCTTACTTAGAATAACTACACAATTATAAAACACTATGTACATGTACACTATTGAAGTCTAAATAAACTAGAAAGGATAAAAGTAGTGCAGCGTCAGTTGGTGGGAATATAAAATGATAATTTCATTTTAAATTATTTTATAAAGATGATATAATTGTAAACATATATTATTCCATGATAATCGTAGACTGGGATGCATTCAGTTTATTGAATATCAGCGTGAATCTGGGGTATTTTTTAGAAAAAAAGAGAGAGGGAAAGAGAGAGAGAGAGAGAGAGAGAGAGAGAGAGAGAGAGAGAGAGAGAGAGAATATTGTACATACACTCAGTTGTAAGATAATATATGCCATGTATAGTATCTCGTAATAATTATAAATAATTTCATGTACGTCCATGTTACCATGTCTCTAGAGATCATGAGTATCGAGGCCAAAGGATGAGTCTATCTAGTCAAAACTGGTCTTAATCCTGCCATGTATCATAGATGTTCTGTTGTCTTGTACTTTCATTTAATATGTAAGTTTCAATGTTTTTTCTTCTAAATTTGTCGTTACATCCTCATTATTATCATCATCATTAAGATCTTCATCTTTAACTTCGTCATCATCGTCATCACCATTATCATCGTCATAAGATCTTCACCATCATAGAAAAATAACTTAGAAGGCATTATCATTATTATAATTATTTTTCCGCAATACAATTCACCATTATCATTTCATTTTCACCTTCAGAAAATATGGTAATTGTCATTAAAATTATGATAATTGAGAAGCACTCGAACTTAAGATTCTTGAGAAATGTTGAATTTACAAACAGAATTGAAAATCATGTTTAAATGCTTATATAAAAACACAGACTCAATCTTATGAAACTGGGACTTTTTTTTTCAGGAATATTGTTACCATAATCATCATGACCATAATTGCCCGCCACATTCTCCTCCACTCAGTTATCAGCATCATAATCATGAAACACTGTAGTTTCCTTTTATTCATTTTCGTGTCAATTTTTGCATTGTTCGTACTTTTGTGGTCATACAGTTCATTTATTTACATGTATTTATGCTATATATATTATAAATGAAATGCCCAAACTACTGATTCTTTGGCTCAAAAGGCCGGGACAGTGCAATAATTGTACAAAAAAGTGTTCCAAATTATTATGAAACTTATGATGCTTTTTCCATGTATTGCTTTTTACGTGTATTTATTATTGCATGATATGATGTATTAATATTATTCTTTTGTATGATTTGAGATGGTTGAATGATGATGTTTGTCAGATGTTTGTTGTGAATAAAGGAAAAAAACAAAAAACAATAGGCTGGTTGTGGGTGTGTGGGTGTGGGTTGGAGGGGGAGAGGGAGAAAGGG